AATGCACAGGCCCCACCAAATTTATCCCTCTATTATGGGCAACTAATCCGGAAACTAGATTAAGTAAATTATTATTAGGTTTGAAAATGGTAGTTTCTAACTTTCTATGATGGGTCAGTGGTTTTTTTGTTCAGATACCTTGAATTCAAATAAAAAAAAAAAAAAAAAAAAAACCTTGAATTCAAATAAATGCCTAATATTTATCCAAAATCACATAACAAATTCTAATAAAGTAGTTGCTGTTTTTGCCAAAAACAAAATAAAGTAGTTGCTGTTTAAATTTTATTAACTTTTGGGCTTTAACATTTTGTGTTGTATATAGATTGCCATCATTTTGTGTTCAGACAAAAATAAAACTAATAGAGGTTGAAGAAAAAATAAAACTAGTTTTAAAATTTCCAAACAAGAGACTAATTTTTAAGTTGATATTTTTTGACGACTAGTTTCAATTTAAAAAATTAAGTTGGTATCTCAGAATGTTAACCAATATATATGTATTCACACAGATCTATATGATTTGTGTGTATACATAAGGATAGAGAGAGAAGAAAACACTAGCATGTAGCCTGCTAAATCGTGTGCGTGTGGATACCGATCGAGCTCGTGAAGTTTTTTTTAGACAATCTGACATCCTAAAGGCTCTCAAAGTTCTCCATGGAGCTCTTTTGCCTAGGGTTCCATTAAAACTGATGGATGAGCTAGGCTTTTGCCTAGGGTTTTGCGCGCCGTTATGTATGGATGAAGCTATTGGTTATATGTATATGGATTACCCTTATGTTTCTACTCAAAGTTTTATGACTTCCTTTCAAAGATCAATTCCTATGAAAAATCGTCATGTTGTCCATCTCATATATGATGTCACTGGTGGCTCATCCCCCTCCTAAACCGCCGCTATGTGGTGGATGGGATTGCCTGGGTTGGAAGATTGTATTTCATTTTCATCAAACAGACAAGTACACGATTGAGATAAGCGTTGATCATGTTAAGTTAAGGGATTAGATCTAAAGACCATTGACTTTTTAAATTGCTCTATTGTTATGTTTTATGAGTTTTATTCTATTGTTATGTTCTTTTATAAAGAATATGTTGTTAGGTTTGTTAGGATGACTGATAAATTTAATGGTATTTTTATAAAATAATTTATTAATACATTCATAAATAAAAGTAGAACAAGTAAACAATGTAAAATTTAATAAGTTGAACTTATTTAAGAACGAATGTATAATAGTAGTAATGAACTTCTACAATTATTTTGTTTTAACTACTACATTCTCCCAATATAAGTTTCCAGTCTTCGTCATTGCTGTCAATTCTGCTAGTTTTGATGTTGTTGGATGTATGTGGATCCACATGATCATCGACGATTGTTTTATGCTCGCTTGGTAGTTAGTGACTCATGTTGCTCTTTTAGGGTGATCATTGTTATCTAATTATAGGGTTATCCATTGTGGTTGGAAAAGTGTCGTAGTCGATATCCGTTTTGTCGAGTATGATGTAATGATCCTAATTTCAATGATATCAATATACACACACGCATTATCACAAGCGCACGCTCACACACACATAAATGAACTTTTCGAGAGCATAATGTGCCATATAAGCATGTCATGTCATTATTATTAATTATTATACATAATTAACTAGTTATTCTCTAAGATGCATTAGGAAATAAATTCTAGACTTAGTTATTTGAGAACATATTGCTCATATATTATCTATATTATTTGTTTCATTATATAGTAAAGATAATCATGATGCAAATCTAAAAAATACTTTTTATTACTTATGTAAGAGTATTAGTCTAGTAGTAGCTTTAATCTTGACATAATTTTCATACATGTGTAGATGGATGAACTTATATGTACGAATAAACATTTTATACATTTCCATTTAACATATACAATTGAGAGTGATATAGATAGTAAGGGAGTAAATGGTCAGTTTGGTACTCGATATCACATATTTTGCAATGTTAACCTAATTGAATGAGTAGTCAACACATGTATATAATATATTTCTATCTCCGTCCCTCTAGCATTGTGGTGCGGCAGTTCTAGACATGATTGAGAGCATCTCTCACTAGGATTGGCTTCCATGTCAATCCTAGGTTGCCATCTTCAGTGATAGGGATCTTCCACTGCACAAGCTTCCACCCGGTTTGGCTATGCCATTCATGAGTCTATCTTCAGCTTTTGGAAAATTTAAGCAATTTGTTTGGTTAGTTACGGTATAATCGTTTCTATGATATATCACTAAGTCTTCGTTTGTTGCGAGGAGGATCCTCATGGAGTCATGGCTTGAAGGTTTGAAGGAACACTCTCTATCCCTTGGTGGGTGTTTGCCATGGAGGTTTCAGTGAGCCAGTGTTGATGGGTAAATCACACTGAGGTAAGCTTAGTGTTCGACTTTCTTCCTCGGTCCGTAAGCCCAATCCTAGTGATTCCGAATCTTCGGATGGGATGTAACCTTCGATGACCTTTGTAAGATTTACATCTTTTTGTATCAAATATTCATTATCCTCTCACGCTCATCCCTAATTTTCCACTTCATTATTATTCTTAAATTTAATATGGTATCAAAGTTGATATTCTGGAGGTAAAAATTTATTTTCTACATAGTATATTTCTTTCTTCTAAATAATGGTCATCAGATGGATTGCATGTTTGTCACACGACACCATATTTTATTTGTCCAGATATTGTTTACGTACTCTGTGATTCATTTCAGATGATTCCTCAGCAATCCTCGTCAAACTCATCTCGATGCAACCATATGTGTCTTACTATTCTTGAGACAAACACCTGGTCAAGAATATTTATATCTTCTGATAGTGACTTCACACCAAAAGAGGTTTGTAATTCAAATTGAACATGATGTCCATTTACCCTTCGCTCTAATATTAATGAGTCATTATTCATAGTATTAAATACACATATTTCTTTGATCATAATACTCTTATTATGTTGGGGGTTTGAGGGGAAGGGATAGGAAGACTTTGAAGGTTAGTGGTAGGAGAAGAAGGGGAAGATGAATAAATCTTTTTTTCTTGTTGTGGAAATACAAATTTGGAAAGGAGTCTTTGAATGAGTTAAAATCATTTCTGAGACACGACGGATTCAAGTAGTTATGGAGTAATATATATTCATTTTAAATTGAAGTGAAGTTACCGTTTAGTTAGTTATTCTTCAAAACTCCTGAATTTATATTAAAGGACCTACAAATTGAACATTGGAGGCATTTTGAGGATCATAAACACTCTCCAAAACAATTTCTTCCAAATTTTGAGCTCCAAAATAAGAAAGGAAATGTCATAAACCCTCCTCATCCTTCCTTTCCCTTCCCTTCTAGAACTTAATTCCCCAATGTACCCTAAGAGTATGTTTCGGAGATTGAGGGAAGGGAAGGGGAAGACTTTGAAGGGATTAGAGAGAAGGGAAGGGGGAGGGATGGGAAGAGTCTCTTTCCCCTTATTTGGGAGTTACACGTTTAAAAAGAAATTCATACAAAAAGTTTATATTTCATAGTCATATGTACAGTTTTTGTATGTACGATGCACGTGGGAAAAAAATGTGCTGATAAAAACATGTGCACAAAAAAATGTATATCTCATAGTCATAAATACTTATTGCACTAGTTCAATCCTATAGAAATGTACTTTAATCAATCATTATATCTCATCAATAATGTAAGCATAAAGAATTTGATTCCAAACATCAGGGACCCCAGGTAAGCACCAATGCACACAATCTGAATAGCTCTTTGGGTCCAATAATTGTTCTTGTGTTGGAGGTTGCCATTGCTTTCTGTAGATAGTGGGGTGTCCATCTTTTCTATAATCAGAAAGTTGTGTTATGTTTAGATAATTGACTTTTAAGCCTTTACTCTCTAAGCGTCTTATAGTAGTTTCTGCAATTTGCATAAGCACTTTATCTGTCGCACTTCCCCAGTAATCTGATCTTGAAATTGGTTGTGTTTCATTATAACAGTTTTGATCCGCTTGCATCCCCCAATCTCTTGCCCTAAAAATAAATATAAATTACTCAAAGTGATCAAGTAAAAGTCTAAGAACATATAGTACAAAGAAAATATTTACATATACAAAAGGAAATGGTAAGGAAATAATTGGTAACGTACAATTTATGGTAAGGAGAGAGGCTCATGAAGAACATATGTGTTCTTGATCTGTTAATGTTGAACTCCAACCAATCTGACCATGTCTCTAATGCCATTTCATAACGTCTATTTTTCATTTCTACCTTTTTATAAACTGCATTTGGGCTTTCAAATGATCCCCACCTATGAGCACCAACAATTATTTGGTTCACACATAAGAATCTTAACCACTCATATACTAACGTGTAACAAGTTTTTCTATTTATTACAATTTATTTGTAATTATATGAAGCAATATTGATAAATATATAAGTAAAATTAAAAATAATGAATAGAATTAATTTTTACTTTGTAGTGATGAAATAATAGCCAGTGCACAAACATTATATAGATTTAAAATTAAACAATGTATAAAATATAAATATGCTGTAAATTTAGTAAACATAAATATAATACGGAGTATATAATATATGAATATAAAATCCAAAATATGATATATGAAATAATATAAACCATGACAATAGTAATTATATATGTATATATATATATATATATATATATATATATATATTAATGTTCATTAGAGTCAGTATTTGAAAGTGACTATAGGCTTGTATCATCATCTAATTATACTTGTATATCCATGATATGAGTTCTATATATTTAAGTATATAGCTAGTTAGAGTACTTATTTTACTTAAAATAATATTGAAATTTACTTCATTACACAGTGTTGCTACTAAGGATCAACTTACAGAAGTGTCATGGTGGGTTCTAGCCACCACATAAAAGAATTAAAGACAAGTATGTCTGCATTTGTCCAGTATCTAGCATGCCTCTCAATTGCCTTTATTCTCACAATTCGGTCTCTTACATGATGGTCCGCTGGATCATCGCAGTTGGACTCTACTAACAATGGAGACCAATAGAAGTCTATTGTTGCATTGTATTCCTTCATGATAATCATACAAATTTTCGTTTCTCAAAAGGCCCATTAGATATAGAAATGATATATGGAGTAATAAAAATTGCTCAACATAGGACTAAAACATAAACAAAATTCAAAAATACGACTAAGCATGTTTTATTCCCCAAATAGGAGTTATTTAGGGAGTGTTTGAAAAAAATTTAAAAAATGTTTTTTTAAATGAGTGTTTTCAAGTGACAACTTATGTTTAAATTAAGCACTTAAAAACTAACAGCTTCAAGTAGGTGGGTGGGTGTCTTAATTAAACTGCTCTAACTTTTTCTATTACACAAAAAAATACTACGTACTTATTTTACCAAATATTGTGAACTTTTACTTTTTCAAAACAATTTTTTCTCAAACACTATTAACATTTACTATTAAGCGTTTTCTCCAAAATTACTTAAAAATTACCTTTTTAAAGTAGAAGCAATCACAAACACTTTCTTAATCTTACTAAAAGAATAAGTTGATTTAAACTTCCCAAAATAGGAGTGAATGGATACTATTTATAAACTTAATTCTTGTTTTGATCATATTTATGGATTTTTGTGATAATATAAAGATTGAGGTAGTGATAGGTGATTTTTTCTTCTCACCTTGGCTTCAAAAGTTATCAAATTGCCCTTCCAAATGGAAATTTTAAGAGAAGGAGCTAAAGAGGGTTCGAGTAGGCACACCATTGACATCCATTGGTTCTTGTTAAGAGAATCTCCCACAAATACAAGCCTCTTCCCTCTCAGCTTTTCCAGCAGTGTAGTCGCATTAAACCTTTGACAATTTCACCACATAAATTATATTGAATGTCAAAAGTCCTACAAAACAAGATTGATGAAATGAAGAGAAAATGATGATTTTGGCCTCTCAATTATTGTTATGACCAGTATATTGAACCTCGGTTTGACCATGTTGATCAAACCACAAGAACTGGGTCTGGCGATTTGAAAGTATGTACAAAGACAATTTTTAACCTGAAACATACTAAAATCAAAATGAATCTTGTTTGATTGTTGAGTCTGTTATCAAATCGAATCATCTCCATTGGGTTGACTACCCAAACTTATACGGAGTATATTTTTATCTTTTTAAATGATCTTAATATTCATTTGGATAGTAAACAAAGAGACGAAACAATATTTTATTCTATTTTTTTAAATAAGGAAAATAAGGTCCTTTTTTTTATGTAGATGACACACACATTCATGACATTGTATTAGAGAGTATTTATTTTGACCTTGGCTTCTCATACCACCTTCTCCGAATTTAAGTATTGGCTCCGGTAAACCAGTGTCATTAAGTAATCCAAACTTTTAGTTTGGACTTGTATAATGGGCGTGTTCGACATTTAGCGAACAGGGGCTAGCGAATAGCGGTTTATGCTAATAAGTTGTCGATAGAGGAATCAGTCAGCGGGTTTGACTAACGGAACAACTATTTATTAAACAACATTTTCACTTATTCAAAACGCTAAAATAGGTCAAACCATCAATTGTTTACTGAAACACAATTTTCTAAACACCCCCAATCCAGTGCCAAGCCGCCAACAATTAGTAATCGAGGGAGTAATTGTTATTTGAAAAAGGAAAGGGACCTTGGGAGATCACAATCTTTTGGTTTCCAAATCCAATGTTGATACAAAATGTCCTTCCTCCCAAACTTTTGACAAGCAAAATCATCCACTAGGAAAGTACACTCTTTTTCTCTATATAATGGATATGAAATATTGTCATAGATCCATTTGCCTGAGAAAAAATTGCATTTTGGGATTGATGACACATTTCGTTTAAGTGGGTGCAATTTTTGTTCTATCAGAACTTCTTCAATATCTGAAGTCATGTGATAAGCAACAAGCACACATGCTACAAGAAAGGCTCCAACGATACACTGAAGGTTGTATTTCAGGATGGGAGAATATGCATGATGTCCTCCTCCTCCTATTTGATCCATGCTTCAACTTTTTCTACTAGTTTTGATTTCCTTGAACATAAGAACACTTTTTCGTTTTTTGAACTTCTAGTGCATACTTTGTATGATCTGTCCAATATGCCTTGTTTCAGTTTCAAATCAAACTAGTTAATGGGATACACCTTACCAAATTAATTAAACTAGATCAAATTAGACAAGACCGGACCAAGGTAAATTGAAAGTGAATAAAATACATGCAATATATTCAAAGAAGTCGGATGAAATGCGTAAATGGTACCTTAACTATTGGTATTGTTACGTTTTGGTATCTTAACTCTTAAATGAATCAAATCAGTATCATAACTAAACATAAATGTTTCAATTGATCGGAATATTATTCAAATTTACGGCCAAAAAATCCTACACGACGATCAAAATTCCATGTGTAGAGTTCATCCTACAATGATGGCATGGACAAAAGTAAGGTGAAGTGGACAAAAGTTATGGTTCTGATTTGATTCATCTAAAGGTTAAGGTATCAAACGCAACAATATCAATAGTTAAGGTACCATTTACACAATTAAACCCCAAAGAAGTCACATCATCATGCCAGACTATATCAACATTGTAAAGAGACTCAAAAATCATACTAATTTAGATCAAATCAAATTAAATTTGCTCAAACTTAAAACTATATGAAGTATATTACAGTAGACATGTAAAGTTTAGTTCTTGTAAGTACATTCGCCATAAAAATTACAATAAAGTGCATACATGTGTAAGAGCATGAAACAATTCCAAACTTTGTCTCATTTCAATTAAATACCTAGTATAATATATAGGGAATACTGTCAAATAGGTCCTCGAATTTTCATAAAAAATCAATTAAATCCTTCTATAGGACTCTGTCCGGTCGTCGCGATTTAGGGCGGTTCCCGGTGGAATTTTTTGATGAAAATTTTTGAGCATCTTATTCATCAAGTCTAGTTTACTCATACCAAATTTCAGCTAAAAAGTTAATCGGAAGCGCATTCAAATTAATTCGAGAATGCAAAAATGCGCAGTTATCTTCAAGAATTAATTTGAATGTGTTCCCGATTGAATTTATAGCTGAAATTTTGGATGAGTAAACTAGACTTGGTGAATAAGATGCTCAAAAAATTTATCAAAAAATTCCACCGGGAACTGCCCCAAATCACGACGGCCAGACAGAATCTCCTATAGAAGGACTTAATTGACCTTTTTATGAAAGTTCGAGGACCTATTTGACAGTTTTCCCTAATATATATAAGAAACTTTCAAATGAGACGTTTGACTATTTCTCTAAACAAATTCATATTTTTAGAAGGAACAACAAATGTTGATAAAGTGTGGACTAATTATATAGCAAAATTCCTTCTTGCATAGGTGCATTACTTCGTATATAAGGAATAAAATACAATCAAATTTATTTATATATAAAAAAGATAAAATGAAAATAAGAATTGTATAATAATTTCTTGGGAATGAGGCATCACGTACCCAAGGCATATGTTGGGGCCAATACGTTTTATTTCTTGCAATTTGGAGACGGAGAATATCAAAAAATGTTTTCATTCTTAAGCTTTTATTCTCAAACAATGCTATCCCAATAATTCTGGACTTAGGATGTTTTTAGTTGGACTGAAATTTTATGATCTAGTCTGATCTGGACTGATCTAGTATGCTAAATGTATGATTCGTGTTTATTTCATAATTTTCAAAGTTTGGTCTATTCTGTTTAAATCTAGTCTAGTCTATTTAAGTCAAATCTGATCTGAGACTTAAATAAATTTGAATGAAAACATCCTCATTCCCACAAAAACGAAGTCATTGTTAACAAAGAATCAAGTTCTTGGTAAGTTCATATTTTATACTACATTCGTCCCTTTTTAGTTAATCATCTTTTACTTTTTCAGTCAAAGATGATAAACTTAACCAATTATTTTAACTAATATATTTATGTTTCAAATAAATATAATAGTTAAAATAAGGTCACTAAAAGGAAAGACCCTAGAATATGAACGGCCTACAGAGAAAAGGTTGTTTGTGCTGGTAATTCATGTTTGAAATATTGTATACTTTTCATAGTTCCCCTATTGTGTTTAAGTGTTTTGGCTGATTATTATAATAACCATGGTTTAATACTTCAATACATTTTAAATGATACTCGAATGAGCGAAAGGAATATTATTTGATAAACATTATCATCAATTTGTATTATTAGAAATGTTTTCATTAAGTTGATTTTTCAATTATCCTTCAAAATCTATCTAAAACTATACTTTACAATTTCTTAACACTCAAATAAGAAAAGGTGCATCATAAACTCTTCTCATCATTCCCTTCCCTTTGAAAATCTAACTCCCAAACATTTCTAGTAGGAAAACTAAACATAAAAAGGTAGGAGTATAACTTTATAAGTTCTTTTTAATTAGATGATGTGCGTATTGAGCAATGACTTAATTAGTTTGCAAAATAAGTTGGTTTGTGTGCAACGCATTATGGTTTATGGGTGATCTTCTAGAACCGAGTAGCATTTTGTGCGCATTAATTTTCATATTTTTGTAAACGTTGAGTTTGGATGTCTTACTAAACAATCACTAGCAGTGATATTAGATCACAAACAAATTAAATCGTATTTGTTAGGAAATTAATTACATGAAAATTGATTTGCAAAAAAAAAAAATAGATAACTATAGTTTGCAAATTCACCTATGATGTATACACAAAATGAAATTCGATCAATGCCAGGCACGAATGTTTGTGTTGAAACTTTTTTGTCTCTGACATGTAATTTAGATTTTGGATCAAATAGGAAGAAATGTTAATGTGAAAAATGAAATTATTTTTGTGCATTTAATTTGAGATCGGACGCCTTTAAGTGTTCTTATAATACAATAGATTAGATTGAAAAGTGTAGACACTTTCGTAAATGAGTGGACATTTTTATCGTCGTGCAAAAGTGTAGAATTTGAATCTAAAATTGCAATACAATCAGGTACCTGGTGATGTTCCAACCTATTCGCCATGTGAGTCATGCATTACCCCGCTTGATGATGCGGCAGAAGAGAGAATAGTATACATTATCAACTATTAATCATCCATTAAAACTAGTAAGTGATCTCATTCTAATCCTATGTAAATTAATCTCGCAGAGCAAAATGCTTTTTGTTTTTGTTTTTGTGTTTCATTTTCGATTTTGGATCAGATATTTCGTTTCAAACTAAAATTGGCTAAACTAGTGGAGAAGCTCATAGTCAAATCGTTAAGATAGCATAAATATATGACAACGAGGATTTGTCGCCCTAAAAAATTATCTAGACAGGGGGAAGAAATTTCTTGTCCAGATTAAAAATTATGAATTATATAATCATGCGTGTGGGAATTTCTTGATGATTTAAAACCTACACGTTTTAATTTTAAATTTGAAGTATCCGAATGTTATACTCCCCCGTCCAGCTAAAATTGTCATATTTTACCTTTTTGGTCTATCCCACTAAGATTATCTCATACCACATTTGGTAAACTTTGTGTGATTCTAAATTATTCTTACTTTAATCTTACTTTATCAACACAATATCAACCACACAAACTACTTTTTATTGATTTGCATTTCACTCCCTCTTGTTCCATTGTTAGTGGGACGGATGGAATAACATTCATGAGAAAAACACTCCTCGAAGTAGAGATCCAATTAACAAATCAATCTCAATTACTTTAAAGAATGCATAAATTTCTTTTTTGGAGAATAATATGGAAAACTTTCGCAGACTTTTACAGAAATTAGTTTTTTTTATCTGAACAAAATATAACAAAACTATCAAGTCACAATTCCAATTATTTTGATCTCAATTTGAATCGGCATGGATCTTGTCACAACATATATGTCTAAAACTGCAAAAATACTTCAACGTGACTTGTTCGGTGAGATAAATAAACTAAAGGAAACCTCACCCCAAAAAGGGAAAAGGGGCAAATAAGCCCGCGTACTAACTAAAAAAGATCAAATAAACCCTTATATAGGAGGTTCTGTCCGGCCGTCGCCATTCAAGGCAGTTCCCGATGGAATTGTTTTATGAAATTTTTTGAGCATCTTATTCATTAAGTCTAGTTTACCCATACCAAATTTCAGCTAAAACTTCAATCGAGAAGGCATTTAAATGAATTCTTGAAGATAACTACGCTTTTAACTGCACAGTTATCTTCAAGAATTCATTTGAATGCCTTCGCGATATAATTTTTAGCTGAAATTTGGTATGAGAACCAGACTTAATTTGTTATATAACAAATTATATCCTGTCCAGCAGCCCCCGGTCCGAACAGTGTCCGAACATGGCCATTTGGGGCACTTCCCGGTGGAATTTTTTGATGAAATTTTTTGAGCATGTTCTTCATCAAGTCTAGTTTTTTCATACCAAATTTCAGCTTAAAATTCGTCCGGGAAGGCATTCAAATCATTTTTTGAAGTTGACTGCGTTTATATATGTATATTTTGACGCAGTCAACTTCAAGAAATGATTTGAATGCCTTCCCGAACACATTTTGAGCTGAAATTTGGTATGGACAAACTAGACTTGATGAGGAACATGCTCAAAACATTTCATGAAATAATTCCACCGGGAAGTGCCCCAAATGGCCATGTTCGGACACTGTTCGGACCGGGGGCTGCTGGACAGGATCATTTCTCTCTCTCTCTCTCTCTCTCTCTCTCTATATATATATATATATATATATATAAAGTTCAGAATATATATAATACATGTGCAAGTTTGAAATGCTTACCTCACATCATTCGGAGTTTGGGATATTTAAGTTGATTTTTCCTAAATTTAAATTTAAATGATGATAAAGTATGTATTCAATTAACAAAAAGAAAAAAACAAATAAAAGGATGATGTTAATATTAACTACTCCAAGAAGAATCATTTAGATATCTAATGTCTTCATACTTTACTAATAATGACTCCTCTAGATTAGATATAGGGTATGTTTGGCAAATGGCTTATCAGCCGGCTTTTAGCTTGTTTGACCCATTTCAGCTGTTTGATTGGTCAAAGAAGCTAATAATGATGTTTGGTAAATGGCTTTTAAAATTAGCTTGTTGAGTTTGAAAAGCTGAAAAAATGGATTGTTGAAGAAGCCAAGGGGGGCAGCTTATTCATTCGGCTGGTTCAATTTACACTCTATCAGTCATTTTGAAACAACCAATTTTACCAAACAATTATCTATAATCAGCTAACATAACCAGCCGGTCAAAACAGCTAACACAACCAGCTGTTAGGAAACAGCTGACACAACCAGCTAACAACAACAGCTAACAGCCATTTGCCAAACATACCCATAGGGGTTATGTCTAAAATATTACTAAAAAAGAGCTTGGACAAAAGGGACCTTTTTTCTATTTTCCAAAAAAGAGACTAAAAATAGGTTAAGAGACTATTATACCCTTATATTAATAGAATCTCACCCATTAGTGCTACAGTAACGCCACAGTGACCAAAAACATTGTAGTGACCAAAATTCGTCAGTGACCAAACATCATTTGTGTGTAAAAATCCAAAAAATCCGTCAGTGACCAAAATCATTAGTGACCAAAATCCGCCAGTGACCAAACATCATGTGTGACCAAAAATCCAAAAAATCCGTCAGTGACCAAAATCATTAGTGACCAAAAATTCTACCTAGTTACCAACGTCAACTCGTCCAGTGAACAACATCCTCCAGTCCAGTTACACTAAATCGATCGTTCAGTTACAGATACCCGACTTGTCCAGTTATAGTTATCGTATGACTTTTTTATTCTTTACAGTTACAGTTACATAGTTCAATCAGTTACAGTTACACAACTCAACCAGTTACAGTTATCTAACACAACCAGTTACAGTTACCCGGTTCTATCAGTTACAGTTATCCAATCCCATAAATTAAATTACCCGAACCGTCCAATTACTACTACAATTATCAAAACCGTCCAGTTACAGTTACAATTATCCGAACCATCTGGTTACAATAACCCAAACCGGCCCGTTACAGTTACCATGTCCGATAGTGACCAATCTTAGTACCGCTGCCAACTACGCCACTGCTAGTAACCGCCGCTGGCCACCACCGGCGCTGCCCAACCGCAACCGCAATCCCAACCCTAACCCTAACCCAGTCAACAGCCTTCAAACCCCCTGTCGCCGCCGCCCGCCGTCGCCCATACCTCTTCTCACCCCCTGTCCCCGTCCTGTTCAACCGCTTCATCAGACCACCATACCTCGCCGCCACATCTATCTCCGACCAGCCACTCTATCGAACCCTTGACGTGCTCCTGCCACACTCTCCCATTAGGTGGAACCCTTGTCACCTGCCGTATCACTCATATTTGAAACCCTAGCTCTTTGGAAGAACAGATCCAGAAGAAGAAATAAATGAGGAGGAAGACAGAGTGGAGATGGAATACAGAGGCGACGAAGAGCACAATGTGAGGCGGCGACGAAGAGCACGACATTCTGTAGTGCGGTGGCCGATTGAATTTGTGCTGGTGGTCCTTTCCGTCCTTTCTTTTTAATTTGGTCTCATCTTTGTCCAATTTGGAATTAGGTTCTAATTTTGTCTTTTGAAAGGATGGGAGTCTTACTTTAATCATTCTTTCTTACATACTCCCTCCGTCCCCGAAAGAAGTTCCCCATTTGACTTTCACATACTTTTATGCAAGTAAACTTATCAGAGGGTAAATTTTACTGTTTTGACACTGTTTCGACACTGTTTGACACTGTTTGACACTGTTTTGCACTGTTTGACACTGTTTTGATGTAGATAACTTTCCATTTAAGGAAATGAGAACTTAAATTAGGAACATCCAAATAAAGAAAGTAGGAATTTCTTTGGGAGACGGAGGGAGTATATTACATCCATTCATGTACTTAGTAGTGATAGAAAGAGTTTAAAAGGCAACTATAATACTCCGTATGTTTTAAAGAGTATTATACTCCCGGTGTGGGAAATATAGGGGGACTTGGTTTTACAACCTTCCAGCCACAATTGAAGTTGGAGACTACATTCTAGTGTTACTCCAGAGAAATTATGCCCTCTTCTAGTGTAAAACATATTCTTCATATTCTGTTCTGGGAACCCTTCAACTCTTCAAGCTAAGTTTTTTCTCTGTTTTTAATCGAGTCCAAGTACTTCATACTATCATACTTCGTACTTTGTATATCATTGTTGCCGTAAACAGCCAAAGAAGCCACAGATACGCACTTGTCGAATATTCATCATGGGCAGAACTCTTTAAAATCACTGCCCGAGCATATGAGGTCATCGACCACATTCTTCCCTCTGCCGATCCCGCTTCTCCGTCTACATCTACGGCCTCTACGGTGAATTCATTATATCTTACTTGGTATCATGTTAACACACCTTTTAGGATGGAACCCGGGTCTTAACATATCTATCATTGTAAGTTAGTAATACAGCTAAATCTTCATTAATAAATTTTTGTGTTTGTTATGTTTTTCATTTACAGAGAGAATGACATTCGGTTGCTTGATTTGTGATTTTTTTATACTTTTACTAGGAAATGTTGCAGATGCTGCAGAAAAACTTGCTAGCTGTTTAATTAAATCAAGGGAAAGTTCCTGAAATGAGACTAAAAAAGTTCGAAAATTCCAATATAGGACTGCCATGTTTTTATTCCCAAAATAGGACTAATTACTGCCAAATTTGGAAAATACTGTCATGTTTGAAGTCTGGTATTGCCAAAACATGGCAGTAATTAGTCTTATTTTGGGAATAAAAACATGGAAGTCCTATTTTGGAATTTTCAAACTTTTTTAGTCCCATTTTGGGTAATATCTCTTAAATAATCAATTGGAAGAATTGTCTGGGTTTGGAGTTCTAGCTTGCAATGGCCACCTTAATTTCTAGTGTTCCAGCAAACTGCAAAGTTTAGGCTATGCTTAGAAAGAGATAAATGAGAAACTTATGGTTTTGAATCTGATTAACCCATTTGCATAAATACACGAGAATTGTGGGAATGAACTCTCTAAGACCATGGTTTATTCATCGGAGTGGTAATTATAAGTTCTTGTTATCTAAAAAGTTTGAGTTGTAAATGTTGAATAAGAGCCCGTTTTGGTAACACTGTCATTCGGCTTATCATCTAATTTTTTCACCAAACACATAATTTCTTATTTCGCGCACTGAAATGTGTAATAATAAAAAAAGTAAGGTTAAACTTACTTTTCTGACTGTTTCGACTAAAGTTACTGTAGAGGATCATTTTAACTATTTTTTATTGATAAATTATATTTTAAATTTATTATTTTTATAAATCATCCGAATCAACCAATACAACAACTTAAGCTAGAACTTGATGAATTTCAGCAGGATCAGCCGATTTCAGTGTTACCAAACGGGATCTAAATAAATTGCACATTTTCTTTTTCCTTGGTAATTTTATTTAGATATGTTCTGCTTTTATGCATCTTTTCTTTCAATTGAAGATAATTAGGCAGTGCTTAACAACCAAAGTGGGGCTTGTTTTACTTACTAGCTGAATAAGCAAAATAATGAAAGCAAGGAAGGCAGTAATTTTGTCTTCCGTGAAGAGTTATATGCCTAAAATGGTTGAAATTGCTGAGTTTACTGTTTCTTTATTTTTCAGAAATTGCCCTAAATAGGTGTAAAAACATTTTAAAATTCCAAAATAAGAGTATCATGTTTTTTATTCCCTGAATAGGAGTAATCTGCTAAGTTTGGAAAAAAATGTCATGTTTAAAGCCTTGTAATGCCAAACTTGACAGAAATTTACTCCTATTCTAGGAATAGGGTTGGACTCGGTTCGGGCCGGGCCCGGTTCGGGCCTTGAACCGGCCGGGCCTCGGTTCACCAAAAGGAGGGCCCGGGCCCGAACCGGCAGGTGATCGGTTCCGGGCCGGTTCCGGGCCAGACCGGGCTGGTTCCGGGCCGGTTCACCCGCCCCATTTTTTTTTTTTGGCTTCTCTTATTTAAGCCCCTACCCCTCCCCCTCAACCCCAAACCACCTCAAATGGCCCAAAATACCTAATCCAACCCAAAAATTAAAAAAAATTCAAAAAAAAATTAAAAAAAAAATTATTCCGGCCCGGACCGGGCCCGAACCGGCCGGGCCGGTTCACCAAATAGAGGGCCCGGGCCCGGAACCGGTATCCACCGGGCCGGTTCGACCCGAACCGCCAGTGGACCGGGCCACCGGGCCGGGCCGGTTCACACAGTAACCGGGCCGGGCCGGTTCCGGTTCGGGCCGCCCGGCCCGAGTCCAGCACTATCTAGGAATAAAATACATGATACTCCTATTTTGGAATTTTAAAATATTTTTACTCCTATTTAGGGAATTCTCTTTTTATGTTTTTATTCAAAGAAGTAAATCTAAAGCTACTTGTTCTGTTTCTTTGCCAATCGGCTGAAAAAACTTAATCAGGTATGGGGATAACACCTTTTTCTTCACAAAGTCGATAGAATCAACTATATCAAAGAGATAGCTGAAACCAAATACGTACGGGAATAAGATAGTTTACAAATCAAGTTAATAGATTGAGGTAAAGTTGAATCACTTGATTAGAATGGTTTACATATCAATTTATGATAGAGATCTACCTATTAGACTAATAAATAGAAGAGTTAGTTGTAGTTATATTTTGGTTATTAAATAATAACTAGAGTAGGTTGTATGGGAAGTCTATAAATAGAATTAGTCTGGGAAGGGGAGGCAGGCTGTTTTTTACTATTGTAGTCTGGACTGGGAAAGTTAGAGATTAATCGTCTCTTTCTTTTGGGGGCTTCGGCCATAACTCTTCTTCATCAATAAAGTTTACAGTTCTTGTTCTTGATATTTCTTGATAATTTTCTGTAAATCCTCTCAATACCTAGATAGCTCTAACAGTGGTATCAGAGCGCGTCGGTCGCTGGATGAAATACACTCGTACTAAGATGGAAGGACATATCACAGAGGTAGAAAGAAACTTGACGGATTTTGCAAGAAATCAGAAGGAGTTAGCAGCGAGGCAAGAAGATATGGCGAGGAAGATGGCCGCTATGCAAACTACCATCGCGGATATTCAGAGCCGACTTCCAGGTCCTTCGCGGAACAGGTCACATACATCTGACGCGTCACATCGCAGATCACTCATCAGCTCGCAGAAGGGGTCGCGAACTATTTCTTTTGGTTCGCACGCGCAGACGGCTTCTTTTAGTTCGCAATCGCGAATATCTTTTCACCGTTCACAATCGCGAACAGAGTTTCTCCCTTCGCAGACTTACTCATCGGCTATCAGTTCGCGTCCAAGAACGATGCGAGTGAGAGAAGAATCTCTATCTGCGTCGCCAATCGAGTCTCAGGGTTCACCATCCTTGTCGCAAACAGCTTCTCTCAGTCTGTCACAGGAAGCTACGCGAACATTTTCTTCCAGTTTGCAAGTTTCATCTGGAAAAGTTGTTTCCAGTTCTCAGACTTCTTCGCGAGCCTATTCCTCATCGCCCAGGGAAGAGAAGTTCACTGAAGATAAAAGCGAGAAGAATGCGTCAGTAACCCATGGACTTGAAGCTGGTAAAATTGCTCGATTTCTCAAGTACGAACCCGTCAAGAATTTTAAGAATCTCATTCCGGGTCTCTTCACTGACGGGGTAACAGAAATTGAAAAGGTTTGGGGACTGTTAACAGTGGGTATTATTGTGCTAGATGGAGGTGTAGGTCATGACATGCAATCTCAGATGGAAATTGCTGGTACAGAGATCAAGATTTTCTGGAAAAGAGATGAGCACTGGAAAAGGGGAAACATGGTTCACCAACTTACTAATAGAAGAATGAGGGAGAAGTATGTTATGAATGCTGACAGTCAGGACCAAGAAATCAGGAGTGAAGGTGTTGAGTCATTCCGGGGGGCTTAACAAAACAGTTGTGGAAGGATGATACACATATTAGTGCAATTAAAGGTTCAGTCTGCACTCACCCCAATGTTAAACTTAGGATGGTAGTGAAGGACAGTTTGATACTTGATGAAAATTGGGACTATTCTAATTATGGATTGAAATGGGCTGGTGAGTTTAATCTTGAATACCCGTGGGATAAAATCAGGGTGGTCCTGGACCCTAATATTCAGTATACTGTTAATGGATTGGTAGCTAAAGCAATTTTTCAACCTTACCAAATGGTCTTAGGCTCCAATAGTCCAGAAGTGAACTGTTTTACTAGTATTTTTTCAATGAAAATCAAACAAGGAGAAACTGTTGGAAATATAGAAGGGGAACCCTATTTGATGGGAAGAATGGTTATAGCTTCCTTCTCATCACTCGGGCTAATAAAGTTGGATGCAAACTCAGTCAGGGAAGCAAAGAGGCGGAGCAATATCCCTGAGGAAACATGATTACACCTAAAAAAGGGAACCAACATTCAAGTTCTCCTTTCTCCCAGTGGTGCTGGTGCCCTTGTAGACATCCGGCAGTACATGTCATCAGGATCTGAAGTTTCTGAACTGGTTGTGGGGTTTGTAAGCTGCCAGGCATCTTTGGGATATTATATCCTTTACAAACTTAAGGATCATTATGTCACCATATCCTTGCATCTGTGTATTACTGCCGTGAAGTACATATGGAAGAAGATGGAAGAAACGAAGCTAAAGATCCAGCAAGCATTCAAGTATTGGGAAGGGAGAGGCATAAGGATGAAGAGGAAACAACGGATCTTGGTTGTGTCCTATCACCCACCTTGAGGGCAAGGTGGATGTTTAGGAGGGGAGTATTGATAGAGATCTACCTATTAGACTAATAAATAGAAGAGTTAGTTGTAGTTATATTTCGGTTATTAAATAATAACTAGCTAGAGTAGGTTGTATGGGAAGTCTATAAATAAAATTAGTCTGGGAAGGGGAGGCAGGCTGTTTTTGACTATTGTAGTCTGGACTGGGAAAGTTAGAGATTAATCGTCTCTTTCTTTTGGGGGCTTTGGCCAGAACTCTTCTTCATCAATAAAGTTTACAGTTCTTGTTCTTGATATTTCTTGATAATTTTCTGGAAATCCTCTCAATACCTAGATAGCTCTAACAATTTAATACTCTTTAATACTTTTTCTACCTCAGTTGGTCATCTTTAACTTTTCTAGTCAATGATGATAATTTTTAGGGGTGGGCACGGCCCGGAACGGTCCGATAAATTAGCAAACCCGTAATGTTTCCGTGAGATTTCAAACAGTTCGGTATTCGTTTGGTTCAAAGGATGAAACAATTCAATATCATGACATTTCGAAACAGTATTAGACGGTACGATACAATGCTAATATTTTTGAACAAATCTTACAATTTACAAAAAACATACTTTATATAAACACAAATAATACATACATACTTGGCTAAAAAATGTTGGTCTGAATAACAGATTTATTGGTATGGAAAAATATAAAAATCTCAAACACATTATTTTTGAATGGACAAGTCCGGTATTTTTCGGTTCTCAAAATCTAGGACCGGTCTCATAATCGTTTCAAACAGTACGATTTCGGTTCGAGATAAAAATCTATACGACCGTCTAAATATCCGCTAATCCCCATTTAAATATATTGAACCATATTTTGTGTCAATCAACCCAACATGGACAATATGACTCGTTAATCCCCACTTCTTTTTGTATTACGTAGTATAATATAAAATTAATTGTAGGCACCTATGATACACAACTCTGCAAGTATATTAATAATATAATAAAAATTCAGTATGAAATCAATAAATCACTCCCAAATTTCCTGAATATTACTTTATTGTACGTGCTATATATACACTTTCGGAATCAGACTTGGAAAGACATAGAAATTTGAAAATTACAAAGTTGCACGAAATTCCATTAATCTTTAACGATTAATCCATCTTAATAAAATATGAAAGTTGTTAATCATAAGATGTAGTTGAGTATTTGAGCATAGAGGAGTTCATTCCAGACATCTGGCACTCCAGGAAGGCACCAATGAATACAATCTGCATACGATGTGGGCTTTTCTATTTGTTCTTCTGTCAAAGAATCCCATTGTTTTCTATAAATTGAGGGATGCCCTTCTTTCCTATACTCTGATAGTTGAGTTATGTTAATCAATCCCACATTTAATCCTCTATTTTTCAGCTCTTCAATGGTTGCTTCAACTAATCTCATCATTTTGGGATCTGATCCATTTCCTTGATATCCCTCATTCTCTATGGGCTCTGTCTCCCCATAGCAATTATCCCCTACCTTTTTACCCCATTCTTCTGCCCTGCAATGTTAGTTTTGAGCATTTCAACATTTATTGCACATAATGAAAATTGCCTCTTTTACTTTTCTAGTTTTGATGAGAAATATATTGATTTGAACATTTCAACATATATTGCACATCTGATCTTGAAATTTCGCAAATCTACAATCATTACTAATTCTTGACCAAATCTACAATCATTACTAATTACTTTACTAATTAATAATAAACAAAAGAGACACATCAAATTAATGCAAAAAAAAGAGACACATCAAATTAAATATACATGGTGCCTATTTGTCCCAAAAAAGACACATAAAAAATAACAGGGAACCATACTATTACATTCCCCTACTTTAAAAACATGCAATCAAATTTTTGAACTTTGAAAAATTGTTTAATTGGTCCAATTAGCAGGTTATCGGCTCAGTCAGCGGTTTACCTGCTGACATGGGACACACGTGGTGGTCCAGTAGACAAACCAGCAGTTAAAAGCTGACGTGGCACACACGTGGATCTATGGGTAACTTGCTGACTGGGCGTGTAAGCCGTTAATTAGCTCAATTGAACATTTTTTCAAAGTTTGGGGATTTAATGAAGTTCTTTTAAAGTACGGGGATGTAATAGTACATGAACCCATTTGATACTTTTCCAAATATAATACCACATATAATATTTCAAAAGTTACTCTCAAGTTTGATTTGGAATGTTTACTAAGAAAGTGAAATTATATAGTGTAACTGATATAAAGAGGGGGGATTAATGTTAAGCACGCGTATCTAATTTCCTTGATAGAAAATGAGAAAATTTGAATACCACAATGGATAATCATCTTGTGGTTTAATTAATGGCATCACTGTGACGCTCTCTAGAAGAAGGTCACAGGTTCAAAACGCATCTCAATCAAGAATGTTGACATTTAACATTGAAGTATTGAACAAATATTACAAGAGAGTAGAAAGTCCATCCAAAAAACAATGGAATCTAAGCGGGTACACCTTAACAGGTACTTAAAACAAAGTATTTGCAAAAATATGATGTTTATTAATAAGGTTGGGTAGACTTGTGTGTACCTTTCATGAATGGGTGACATGCTTATAAAAAAGATTTGGGTTTTAGATCGGTTGATGTGAATTTCAAGCCAATCGGACCACGTTTTCAAGGCCATCTCGTAACTGCGAACCATATCCACATTTTTGTAGACTCCGTCTCTATCACCAACTGAAGCCCACCTGCACCCCCAATAGTTCACAAGCTTAATATTTTAACTTAAAATTACTCCCTCCGTCCCGAAAACAACTTCCCACTTTCCTTAAATGGATGTCCCAAAATTAACTTCACATTTCAATACTTTCCTTATTTGGCAAATTATCTACATCAAAAAAGTGATAAACAGTGCCAAACAGTGTTTAAACAGTTCTAAACAGTGTTTAAACAGTGACAAACAATGCATTCTACAGTAAAGTCAAATTTATTTCCTAAAACTGTGTGAAAGTCCAACCGGGAAGTTGTTTTCGGGACGGAGGGAGTAATAAAACTTCATAAATGACCAAAGTTATTATGAGAGCATCACTAGCTATAGTCACTTCAGTATGAATATAACCACTTTAGTGTAAACTTGAATGATAATCCATAATGTTATACTCCGTACTATCGTATATATTATTAAGGTCAGTAAATTATTTAAAGTCATATTTTTTTCTATTATTTTTACTATAAACATATTCGTTAGAGTAATCGCTCTAAACTTTTTCAATTTTGTTTTCTTTAACAGTATGTACCATTTTACGTTACATTTAGGTCCTTTTATCACTCACTTTAATAAGTGTATTCTCTTTATTTGGGGTATCAACATAATTCTACAAAACGGGTCTTTTTGATAATTCTTTAGAATAAATTGCAATTTTGATCTTACGTGATTATATCAATCCCACATTTACTTCATGCTTTTCCATTTGTCCATTTTTTATCCATGAATATCGTTACTTAGCTTACTCACATGCGATTCTTTTGTTTATTGTTGTGGTTAACTCACTTTAGAGGTTTCAGAAATTTGGATGAAAGGATCACGAATGTTCCGATTAGGCAAAGATAAACGATAAATTAAGAGCAAGAACACAAGAATTAACGTGGTTCACACAATCGGGTTGATTGTGCTAGTCCACGGCGAACGAGAGAGAGTATGTATTATTATCAGCGTCCCAAGAGGTTTACAAGTACATAAGAGTCGTTTAAATAGGTTTAGGAAAACCTAAACTGAGATTAGAGCCGCAGGCCCAAAATTAAGCCTGTTTTTAAAATTCCCGTCGCCTGACCCGGTCGGGTCTCTTATTTGACCCGGTCGGGTCTCCTTCACAGAACACAAACCCGGTGGAAACCAGGTCGGGTTTCCAAAACAGAAGGCTTCTGACTTGCTGACCCGGTCGGGTCCCTTCACTGACCCGGTCGGGTCTCACGTCCAGTGAGCTCCCAGGTCTTCTGCTTCAACATACCCGGTCGGGTCCTTCATCTGACCCGATCGGGTATCAGTTCTGAAATTCTGAACAAGACTCCATCTTCAACAATCTCCCACTTGGAGGCTTGGTCAACAATCATCTGCCATCCAAGAACATGTATCTTCTGTAAAACCCCTGATCTCTCTCTCTCTCTCTCTCGTCCACGCCTTCTCATCAAGTATCTGGAAGGCCCGTTGAAGCCATGCATAGCTTCAACTTCTCCGTTGTCACCGCCTTGGTAAGCATGTCTGCTGGATTCTTCGTACCAAGGATCTTCTTCAAATTTATAGTACCATCTTCAATCAATTCTCGAATGAAATGATACCTCATCTTGATGTGTTTCGTTCTACTGTGAAACACCGGATTCTTCGCGAGATGAATAGCACTCTGGTTGTCACAATACAGACCACAATCCCCCTGTTCCATGCCCAACTCCGAAAGAAAGTTCTTCAACCAAATCATCTCCTTGGCCGCTTCAGCAATAGCCATATACTCTGCTTCTGTGGTTGAAAGAGCTACACTCTTCTGTAATCTGGACATCCAACTGATTGCCGTACCTCCAATAGTGAATATGTAACCCGTAGTGCTCTTCCCGGAATCATGACAGCCCCCCAAATCAGCATCTGCAAAACCTTCTAGAATTGCCCCATTCCTCCTGAAACAAAGAGCAGTTCTAGAGGTGCCTTTCAAGTAGCGTAGCAGCCACTTGACTCCTTCCCAATGTTCCTTCCCTGGATTTGACATAAACCTGCTAACAACTCCCACTGCATGAGCAATGTCTGGCCTTGTTGACACCATCGCATACATCAAACTGCCAACTGCTGATGCATAAGGAACTTTAGCCATCTCATCTTTGTCTTCATCGGTCTTCGGAGACTGCTGCTTGGAGAGTTTCAACTGACTCCCTAACGGTGTGCTCCTTGGCTTGGCATCCGTCATTCTGAACTTCTCAAGGACCTTCTGAATGTACTTCTGCTGTGAAAGCTTTAAAGTACCTTCCACCTTGTCTCTGACTATGCTCATCCCAAGAATCTGTCTCGCCTCCCCTAAATCCTTCATCTCAAATTCTTCAGACAACTTCTTCTTGAGCTTGTTGATCTCCTGCATGTTTGCTCCAGCCACCAACATGTCATCAACATACAAAAGAAGAATAATGTATGAAGACTCGAATTTCTTCAAGTAACAGCAATGGTCCATCTTGCATCTAGTGTACCCATTCCGCTGCATAAAACTGTCAAACTTCAAGTACCACTGTCTAGGAGCTTGCTTCAGTCCGTATAGACTCTTCTTGAGTTTGCACACCATCTTCTCTTTACCACACACTGGGAAACCTACTGGTTGAGCCATGTAAATGTCTTCTTCAAGGTTGCCATGAAGAAATGCAGTCTTTACATCCAGCTGCTCCAAATGCAAATTTTCAGCAGCAACGATACCAAGGATCAACCTCATAGTAGTCATCTTCACAACCGGAGAGAAGATTTCATTGTAATCAACTCCCTTCTTCTGTTGGAACCCCTTGACAACTAGCCTCGCCTTGTATCTTTTGCTCCCATCAGCTTCATCTTTGATTCTGAACACCCACTTGTTCTCCAAAGCTTTCTTTCCCGGTGGTAGCTTGACTAAGGACCAAGTTTGGTTCTTCTCAAGAGAATCTAACTCATCCTCCATGGCCTTCTTCCACTGTATGGAATCCTTCACGGTCAGCGCCTCTGAGTAAGATTCTGGTTCTCCATTCTCGGTCAGCAACAAATAATTTGCTGAAGGAGAATATCTGTTAGGAGGTCTTCTGATTCTGGTGGACTGTCTGACTTGAGGAGTAGCTGCCTCTGAATTTTCACCATCTTCATCACTCCCACTATCTTCAGACATTCCTGTATCTCCTGAGCTCCCACTGCTCCCTGAACCTCCTGTTGTCTCATCACAACCAACAGGTTGTGCTATGTCATCTTCAGTTATCCCGTCAAACACCACTTGTTGCTTGTTTTCTGGTTGCTTGGCTTTGCAAGTTTCTGCTGCAAGACCATCTTTATACAGGGCATTCTCGTTGAAAGTGACATCTCTACTTCTGATAACCTTCTTGCTGTGGTTGTCCCAGAACCTGTAGCCCATGTCATCCATCCCGTACCCAATAAAGATACACTTCTTTGCCTTTGCCTCGAGCTTGTCACTATCTGCATCTCTAACTTTGACATAAGAAATACAACCAAAAACTTTCAAGTGAGTAAGAGATACCTCTCGACCTTTCCATTCCTCTTCTGGAATTTTGAAACATATGGGAGATGAGGGTCCTCTGTTGATCAAGTATGCTGTTGTGTTCACTGCATCGGCCCAGAACATCTTTGGAAGTCCTGCATGCAATCTCATGCTCCTGGCCCTCTCATTCAGTGTTCTGTTCATCCTCTCTGCAACACCATTTTGCTGTGGTGTTTCTGGAACCGTCTTCAGCATTCTGATCCCCTGTTCAGCACAATACTCTACAAACTTTGTGCTACTATACTCACCCCCATTATCACTCTTTAAACACTTAATCTTGAGATTTGTTTCATTCTCAACAGCAGCTTTGAACTTCTTAAAAGTGTTAAAGACATCGGATTTATTCTTAAGAAAATAAACCCATACCTTCCGTGTAGAGTCATCAATGAATGTAACATAGTACCGGGAACCTCCAATCGAAGAGACCTTTGTCGGTCCGTAGACATCTGAATGAATCAACTCCAGCCGCTCAATCTTGGGTTGTTGCCCTGTCTTCACAACGGTTACCCTCTTTTGTTTGCCTAGAACACATGACTCACAAAAGCTCAACTTTGAATTCTTCAAATCTGGGATTTTGCCCTTTGAAGACAGCATCTTCATTCCGTTCTCACTTATGTGCCCAAGTCTTTGGTGCCACAAAGTAGAGACCCCTGTATCTTCAACTGCTGCGTTTGCCCCATCTGTGGACACTTCAACCATGTACAGTGTACCATGCTTCTGCCCACGAGCAATGACCAGCTTTCCCTTTGTCACCTTCCATTGCTTGTTGCCAAAACTAACGTTATGGCCTTCCTCATCAAGCTGTCCAACTGAGATCAACATCTTTTTCAGGTCTGGAATATACCTCACATCTTTCAGCCTCCAGGTTGTACCCAAAGAGGTACTGAGATCAACATCTCCAATACCCGTGATCTCCAGGGATTTGTCATCCGCCAAACGAACTCTTCCGTTGTAGGGCCTGAAATTTTTCATCAAATCCCTGCAATGACAAGCATGAAACGACGCACCTGAATCCATGATCCAGGACTCAACTGAATTCTCAACGCTGCAAATTAGAACATCTTCATAATCCTCTGCCACGTTCACCTCCTTCTTGCCTTTGTCTGCAGGGGGTTTTGGGCACTGATTTCTGAAGTGTCCATTCTCTTTGCAATTCCAACAATTGATGTCCTTCCGGTTCTTGGATTGCCCTCTCTTTCTCGACTTCGATCTTCCTTTCTTGTTACCCCCTCTAGTGGATTTTCTGCCCCTATCTTCAGTACTCAATAAACTATTGGAGCTATCCCCCGAACTCCTCCTCCGGATATCCTCACCAAGGATTAAGTCACGAATACCTTCAAAGGTAAGCTTAGTGGTTCCAGATGAACTACTAACCGCTGTGACTGTACCGGACCAACTATCGGGCAAAGATGATAACAAAAGTAATGCTTGGACTTCATCATCGAATTTAATCTCAACCGAGCCAAACCTGGATATGATTGAATTAAACTCGTTGATGTGATCTGCCACGGATGCACCTTCCTTCATTCTTGTATTCACCAACTGTCTAATCAAGAAAACCTTGTTTGCTGCTGAGGGTTTCTCATACATGTTGGATAACGCCTTGAGCAGTCCAAACGTTGTCTTCTCGTTGACGATGTTGTAGGCAACGTTCTTCGCCAACGACAACCTCACCACACCAAGAGCCTGTCGATCCAACAAATTCCATTCCGCCTCCGTCATCGTTTCTGGTTTGTTCTCAGACAACGGTTGATGAAGCTTCTTCTGGTAGAGATAATCCTCGATCTGCATCTTCCAGAAAGCGAAATCTTGACCATCAAATTTATCGATCTTAACCTTCCCTTCGTCAGCCATAGCTCTGATACCAATTGTTCCGATTAGGCAAAGATAAACGATAAATTAAGAGCAAGAACACAAGAATTAACGTGGTTCACACAATCGGGTTGATTGTGCTAGTCCACGGCGAACGAGAGAGAGTATGTATTATTATCAGCGTCCCAAGAGGTTTACAAGTACATAAGAGTCGTTTAAATAGGTTTAGGAAAACCTAAACTGAGATTAGAGCCGCAGGCCCAAAATTAAGCCTGTTTTTAAAATTCCCGTCGCCTGACCCGGTCGGGTCTCTTATTTGACCCGGTCGGGTCTCCTTCACAGAACACAAACCCGGTGGAAACCAGGTCGGGTTTCCAAAACAGAAGGCTTCTGACTTGCTGACCCGGTCGGGTCCCTTCACTGACCCGGTCGGGTCTCACGTCCAGTGAGCTCCCAGGTCTTCTGCTTCAACATACCCGGTCGGGTCCTTCATCTGACCCGGTCGGGTATCAGTTCTGAAATTCTGAACAAGACTCCATCTTCAACAACGAATGGACACAAAACAATAATCATGTAATTAAAATTTGTTAAAGTCAAAAGATAAGGATCAAATATGGGATTTTCGTACATATTGAGGGATGCATCAAAGAATTTAGATTAATTGGGCTGGACTAATATTATTTTCCAACAACAATTTTAGTCAAACAAGCATTGGAAAAATTCATTCTTTATTTACTCACAAGACTTTGATATGGGGTTGCCTCCACCAGAGGTAAGTATTGAAGACTAGATAATCAGCATCAGTCCACCTCCGGCCGTGCTTTACGATTGAACTGGCTCTCACGATCCGCTCCGGCAGGCGGTGATGCACAGGATCGTCGGAATTAGACTCTACCAGCAATGGTGACCAGTAGAACTCAATTGTGGCATTATATTCCTACAATAATATACAAACACATAATTAGAAATGGAGTAATATACGAGTATATACTACGTATATGAAGTAGAGTAATCCTGAAGCAAATAAATATTACTCCTTATATATTATATTCAAAAATTAAAATACTCTAGGTACCCCCATTTGTACTCACCCCTATCGTATTGTGTGGCTTAAATGGAGCAATTCATTTAAACGAGACAACTCATTTAAATGATTGACTCGTTTGAACCACACAAGGGTGTGCTACAAATGGGGTACACCAAGCAAGGCTCTGAATTATATTCATTATAAAAGCATGTATCCGAGAGTTATTATCATATATGGAAATGATTTCGTGCAAAATGTTACAAATTTAACTTCACCGTACCAAGAACGGACTAGTACATTTCTAGATCAAACTAGACTTAAATAGACCAGACTAAATTAGACCAAATTTAAAAAAACGCAAATACACTTAGAATACACATCTACTAGACTATCCTATGTCAAATCAGACCAGATCAAACAAGAATAACTATAGACTAGATCAGATCAAACCCGATCCAAAAATTATAATCCAATTAAAAACATTCTTAATACAAACAGCTTATTACACCGTACCATCCGGGCATTAAACATATAAATTGTCTTCAGCTAATAAAATTAACCAAAAGTAAATTTATGTACGACTTACTTTAGCTTTGAAAATGATCAAGGAGGCATTGTACTTGTAGTCCATGGATTTGAGGGATGGTGGGATGGCAGAATCAACAAGACATACCATGGAAACCCATTGTCCTCTATTCAAAGAATCGCCAACAAACACAAGCCTCTTATTCCTTAGTTTCTCAAGCAAAGCTATGGCATTGAACCTACCTTAGATAATGCATGTGCACTAACATATATCAACATCAAAACATTCACTTCACCCCACCTCAAATCGATCACTACACACAAAACGAAAACCGATAATTCCAAATTCATAATTACTCCGCGTATTAAACACATACAAAACAACAAAATAAAAAAGAGATGGATCTAAATAGAAGTAAAACATAGACAAAAACGTAGTGGTGGTTATGTTTTATTCCTAAAATTAGATTTATTCAGTTTTATAACTTCCCCAATTTACATACTCTCGGTTAATTAACTGTCTGGTCGGTGCTGGAGACCTGATGCTGGAGACCTGATGCTGGAGACCTATGGGGATTCATCCTTTTAAGATAGTAAAATTTTGCAGCTTAAATTTGTTTAGGTGGGGAAGGGGGCAATATGTTTCTAAACACATAATCCTTTATTTAAAAAAAGAAATAAATAAAAGTACGAGCTGAGAAAGATTGTATATATAAGAAAATTGAAATGGATAGGAGTAAGAGAAATTGTACATATTGCAGTCCTACTTGAAAATTCTATCTTTGGCCGAAAATCTCATGCAAAACCCGGGTTTTCCAATGTTCTCTTTGCCAAAATGGTACATTTAATGAATTTTTTTAATGTGGATAAAATTATTAGTTATAGGCACCATTTGCAAGTCTCTTAAATTATACTACCTCCGTTCTTAGATAAGTGCAACATGTTGAATTTTACACTATTTACACGTTCTACTTTAACTACAGTTTATTTATTGATGTATTAATATATATTTTTGAAAAAAATATTAGTATTAAATTTGTCTCATTGTAAATTTTCAAAATATGATTATTACTTTTTTTACTAGCTAGTAGAGAATTCTATATATTCATGGTCAAAGTTGTGACTCGGCAAATGTGAAATGTTGACCGTTGCACTTATTTAAGAACGGATGAAGTGTATACTACGTATGACTAATTGACTATATATATGAGTAATCATTAAGTCGAACCTTGGAATATCGCATTGATAGGGTTGCCACCTCAAATGTTGATAGTCCAAATCTTTTCTTCCAAACTTTTGGCAAGCCAATTGATCGGACATGAATGTGCATTCTTGCTCCTTGTACAATGGGTAGTGTGACTTGTTGTCATATACCCATTTTCCCGAATACAAATCACACTTTGACAACGGTGGCGGCGGGTCATCGGCAATGACCATTTCGAGGCTGTTGCCGCTAAACAAGAAATCTCTAGCCTCCAGGCCAGTGAGGTGAACAACTCCGAGTACGAGGGCGGCGACGAGGAAGGCTCCGAGGGAGTAGAACAAGCCCCTAATATCCCATAGTCTGGAAGAAAGGTTTCTTGTCACAGGAACAATGGGAAGAGATGTTGATAGTAATGCGTATGTTTTCGCCATGATGGGGATTTATTTGTTATTGGGGGGTAGTAATAAAAATAAGAATAACAATTCTTCCTCTACGTACGTACTATAAGTCTATAAGTACTGCTGTCACAATATATACCTACCGAGTATATTTCATATTGCTAAGATGACATTTTTGTCAAAGAAAATAATCTTTTCACTTGTATGGAGTATGTTTTTGACATTTCTTGAGTCAATGTCTCAACAAAATGCCGATCAAGATAATACATTTCTTTGCAATCAAGATGACATAATTATCGTTTGATGAAGACATTATGAATGGATAATGAAATTCTAATGTTCTAATCATGATATTCTTTTTTGATCTTGAGTTCTTTTTGGGGATAACAGTAGGAGTTTGAATCAAATGCAAAAATGGTGCCTTAACTATTGGTATTGTTACGTTTTGATACCTTAACTCTTAAGTGTATCAAATCAGTATCATAACTATATATAAATATTTCAACTTGAAATTTTATTGAAATTTGCGCAAAAAAAACCTTCATGACAATCAAAATTTCATGTGCAGAGTCACCCTATCATGATCATATGGACCAAAATAAGGTGAAGTGGACTGGCTTTATGCATAAAATTCCGGCTATCAAGTGTAATTTTTTGGTTGGACATTTGAATAATATTGTAAGCTGAAACATTTATGTATAGTTAAGGTACGACTGTTTTGTTTCATTTAAGAGTTAAGGTATCAAAATGCAACAATACCAATAGTTAAGGTATCATTTATATAAGTCAATTTACTATTTCTGTGAATATGGTTATTTTTAGTTTTTTTTTACATTCAATCTCACTTTCACTCTGACTACATGATACTACTCAAAAGCCGTGCTCTTTTTTCACCATGTTTTAGTCTTATTTAAATCATTATCTCGGATTATTAAAGTTAGGTGTACGTGCTACCAAAGCTAGGTTTTGTACGTAGGAGCGTAAAAAGCTAGGTTGTTAAAATGGTATTCTCTTTGTTATCACGATAAAGGGGTTGGAGGTGGGTTTAGTGAAGCCTCAACCCGTCCATCAAGCCGATCATTCCGTCCTCTTAAAGTTTACTCAAAAGACAAATAAACCTTGTACACATGATGCCATATTGGGTGAGTAAGATGATACATATGTAGACCATTACGCATCAAAGAAAAGCTTTAAGTTGAAGTAATCTATCATTATGGCTTCCATCTCATTGCATGTGAAAACAGCTCACAAGGGACGACCACTCTAACATGTAGTCTTCGTTCCTCCGAAAAGTAATACTGTGATTGAAAAATAAATTAAAACCTACAACATAAAAATATGTTAGAAACATACTTCGTATATACTAGAAAAATAAAATGTTATAAAAAGGACAAGGAACAAATGAATCCCTAAACTATTCATGAGGACACATACCTTCCCTATTTTTGGGAACAATTTAACACAAAGCTAGCGTAAAGTAACAGTATAGCCAGTCTCCTCTATAAAAAAACTAGGCTATAAACGTTAATTACTTCTTGTTATCTACTAAAACTTATTGTTAGTGGTACAACCTTGAAACAATTAAATATCTTTCCTAAACAATTGCAGTTTTCTGTGAAACATAAGGGTCAACTTAGATCGAGTTAGCCCGTTTGGTAACCTGATTTTCAACTTATGAGCCTTATAAGACAACTTTTTTGACGAACACCTAATTTTAATTATGTGTGCTGAATTTTATAATAATCAATACAAGTACGGAGATTTGTGATTTTCTTCCTGTAATTTTCAGGTATTTTCATTATTAGTCCTGTAACTTTGGTCACTTGCAAATTTGGTCCTTAACTAATAAATCTTTGTGATTATTTGAGGACTTTCCTTCCAAAAAGTACACATTCCGACAAAAATATACCTGAAAAAGATGCCGTTGGCGTCGCATTTTTATGCCGGAAAGTCTGTTGTACGTCCGGTACAAAAATCCTTAAGTTACACAGATTTATTAGTTAGAGGACCAATTCTGCGGCAAGCACGTAAAGTTACATGATTAATAACGATAGCAGCTAAAAATTAAAGGACTAAACTTCAAATCCCATTAAGTAAGGTTGAAGTTGTTTTTCTGACTTCAAATCTCGTTTTAGCTATTTCAAATAATTTTTTCTTTATTTTATTAATAAAATACATGTTAAATATGGCGTTTCCATAATCCAACAAGTTGACTAATTCAGCCGCTTCACTATAATTTCTGTGATTTCAGCATATCCAGCTGACTCAACCAATTTTAGTGTTACCAAACGGCTCATAATTTGAAAGGGAAAAGGGGCAAATAAGCCCTCGAACTAATCAAAAAAGTGCAAATAAGCCCTTTTGTAGGAGGTTTTGTCTGTCTATCGTCATTTGGGGAGGTTCCCGGTGAAATTTTTTGATGAAATGTTTTGAGCATCTTATTCATTATGTCTAGTTTACCCATACAAAATTCCAGCTAAAAATTCAACCGGGAAGGCAGTCAAATGAATTTTTTAAGATAACTGCGCAGTTAAACAACACAGTGTAGTTCCGAAAATCATTTGAGTGCCTTCCCGGTTGAATTTTTAGCTGAAATTTGGTATGGCTAAACTAGACTTAATGAAGAAGATGCTCAAAAAAATTCATCAAAAAATTCCACCGAGAACCTCTCCAAATGACGATGATCGGACAGAACCTCCTACAAAAGGGCTTATATGCACTTTTTTTATTAGTTCGAGGGCTTATTTGCCCCTTTTCCCTAATTTGAAATGGAACGGATATGGTTGACATGCCACATACCATTGAGGAAGAAAAGACTGTTTTTAGCATCTAGTTAAATGACTAATATTGATCAAACCAGTCAAAAAATAGCTGATCAGCTGCTCATTACCAAACACCCCTTAATCAACGTGTAGAAATAGACGCGTACGCATGTGTTATATTCTACTGTACATATGATTAATTAATTAATTAATTAATTAATTAATTATATAAAGTAAATACGGGGAGTGTACATGAACTCATGAAGTGTCTCGCTAATTTAGCCTATCCGTACTTTTTAGGATAGCCTATTTGTATTATTAGGCCTTATAACCTTTTTTAGTTGTTTAGGATGTACTGAGTACCAATTAGTGGATAAGATTAATTATCGGACAGAAGTTTCTTTTCAAATGACGATGATCGCTAGCATCACACATCGATGTATTAGTGGATGTACATGCCATATACCTCGATGCATAGTATATGGCATGAAGTTTCTTTTCTTTTCTTTGCCCAAGCACCACACCGATAGCATGATCGCTAGCATCACACATCAATTCGAATGGGAGAGACCAATCCGGTGATGTAATAATAGGGGCCGTGGTAAGAGCTTCCTTTAAAGTGTTGAAAGCTTTGAGCCGAGTTGGAGTGATTTCAAAAGGGGCATCCTTGGCTAATAAATCGCATAGAGGTTTAGCGATTTTTGAGAAATCTTTAATGAATCGCCGATAGAAACCGGCATGCCCTAGAAAACTTCGGATAGCTTTCACCGAGTGTGGAGGGGGTAGCTTCTTTATGACTTCAATTTTTGCTTGGTCGACTTCAATGCCTTTGGAGGAAATTTTGTGCCCCAAGACAATTCCTTCGGTTACCATGAAATGGCATTTTTCCCAATTGAGAGCCAAATCGGTTTCTTCACACCGAGTTAACACTTTCTCAAGGGAAAGTAAGCATGAGTCAAAAGAATTTCCGAAAACAGAAAAGTCATCCATGAATACCTCCATGAAGTCTCCCACCATGTCTGCAAAAATTGCCATCACACATCTTTGGAATGTCCCGGGGGGCATTGCATAACCCGAATGGCATCCTTCTATAAGCAAATGTGCCAAAAGGACACGTGAATGTTGTCTTTTCTTGGTCCTCGGGAGAGATAGCTATTTGAAAATAGCCGGAGAATCCATCCAAGAAACAAAAGAATTCGTTGCCCGCAACACGCTCTAGCATCTCATCCATGAATGGAAGGGGAAAATGGTCCTTCCTTGTGCCGGAGTTCAATTTCCGGTAGTCTATGCACATCCTCCAACCGGTGACCATTCTAGTAGGAATTAATTCATTCTTACTATTGGCTACCACCGTGATTCCACCCTTTTTTGGAACGACTTGAACGGGGCTTACAAATTTACTATCCGAAATGGGGTAAATTATGTCATAGTCAAGGAGTTTCAGAACTTCCTCCTTAACTACCTCTTTCATGTTGGGGTTTAGCCTCCGTTGTGTTTACCAGCATCAAGTCATATTTGTGTTCAAATCTTAAAAGGGGTGAATTGATCAAAAGTTTTATTATGACCAAAGAATACGAATTAGCTCATATATTGGCTAAATAGGAATATGAGAACCATTTGATAAATTATCGGCAATCATCCCTTTCTATGGATTGAGTTGCTAAAAAAGTGTTTTCAAACGGATGTTTCTGCCTAAATGAAGTGCTTTAAATCTAAAAAACGAAAAGGGAAAAACTTTAAATTACTTGTTTCTTTTTTTTATTTTCTTTTATTACAGTACCTTTTTATCCAACATTATTACACTTTAAAAATGAGTTTTGCTTTCAAATATTGCCAAATTTTGCAATATTTGAAACATTTTCCATACAATGTTTAAAATAAATCACTGCACAAAAGTAAAAGAATATGCAAACAATCCTTCAATCTTGTTATTATTATTCCCATAGTTTATTGCCTGATTCAAAAACCGTGATGATGAAATCTCTACTAATAAGTTATAATCCCACCTCCTTGAGAGCTATTTGGGATGAGTTAGGCTCAACTTTATTATACTAATGCTAGACAATAGAAGTGTAGGCCTGTAAAATCTTTTCTATCTCTCTTTTTCATATATCCCTATAGGCTATAGATAAATGGAAACTATATGGGCCTTTTAAGAGTCTACAGGCTCTGTGGTAAGTCCATAACCATAAGGGAAGAGTGGGTCATAATGTGAATCTCCAACATTCATGGGCAGTTGATCAACTGTCTTGAACCATGTCCGCGGAAGCTTGCCAGTAAAACCAAAATCACCAAAGAGGACATCTGCAACGCCTTGGCCTTCGGTTCCCGGAAGCCAAGCAGCCACAAGGGCATCAATCTGTGGGAGGTATGGCTGGATCACAACCGGCCGTCCAGTGATGAGAACCACAACACATTTAATATGTGCACACACGTTTGTTAGGATGGTCGGTCCAGGCTCAGGGATTGTCAGGTTTAAGCTGTCCCCGTAGCCCTCGGCATACGTTTTCTCTCCCACCACGACAATGGCGTATGAGAACTTGTTTGATTTCAAGAATCCAACATCAGGGTTTTCCTTGAAAGTGACTTCTGTTTTAGGATCAACCGTGTTACTAATAGCCGAGAGTATCGTAGTACCTGCTCGAATGAAACAATTACATGTTATATAAATGAATGAAACAATCTGTTAAGTATCTAACTTACATTGTGAACTTTGCCATATTTCACCCACTATATATAGGAAAAATGGAAACTAATAATCCAACCTTTTAGCAGTTTTATTACAATAGTCCAACCTTTTCGTTATTCAAGAATAATCCAAACTTTGCACCTCATCTTCATTCGCTGGTCCCTGACCGGTTAATGACCTGCTATTCCAAGTTATTTTCTTATCTTTGCAAAATACTATCTTTGTGAAAGGTGAGATTTATGGTATAATGGTTTGCAAAGATAAGAAATATCTTGGAATAGCAGGTCATCAACCCGTCAGGGACCAGTGAATGAAGATGAGGTGCAAAGGTTGGATTATTCATGAATAACGAAAAAGTGGGACTATTGTAAGAAGACCGCTAAAAAGTTGGATTATTAGTTTCCATTTTCCCCTATATATATAAGAGATAAATTTCTATCATCTCATTGCATAGGTCTAGAGATAAACACTCCCACTTTTATTCTTTATAGGTTTAAAAATGTTTTGTCTCTACAAATATGTTTATTCCTTCAAAAACATTGTCTGAAGTTCTTGTTAATGTATTAGTTTTTGTTATTCAACACTAAAATTTATGTCATTTTCTTTGTAGTCCTCTCATGAAATGGATTTTGCATGGCATTACTGAAAAAAGCATATTTCTAGCGAGGTAGGGACGTTAACTGAAAATGAGAATAATGGATTTAACTTAGTCCTTATTCCCAATGAATCATAAAAAGTTTAAGTGGAAAGCCGGACCCTGTCCAACAAAAGCCAAATTAGAGGTTGGCGATAAGGCTCTAACGAGAAAACATTGTAAGTTAAATGAATGAATCACAAAAATAATTTTAAAAGGACCTAAAACAAAAGTTACTATATTTGCATTCAAAGGGTAGCAAAACATACTACTGGATGTCTGGATAGGGGCATGTTCCAGTGAACATTTTATAATTCAATTCTTGTGCTTTGTTTTCATAGCTTTTTGTCATTTTTTCTGTTGAAATGTAGCCAACAGGGAAATAGCATGAACTATCTAACTAACATGCGTACCTACAGTACTGTTGCCAGGAACTCCTTGCCATGTTATTGTCCACCCACCGCACTGATAGCCAATATCGTCTGCATGAGTTCCTGCAACCAATATATTTGATGTCTTCTTTGGAAGAGGTAAAACTGGCTCATCTCCATTTGCACCGTTCTTCAAGAGAACAAGAGATTTCCTCACAGCTTCCCTTGCCAGCTCTCTGTGCTTCTACACAAAAGTAAGTATGCTTGCTAAGTCACTACTAAACACCCAGAAGAATTAACTTAACTCTAATTCAACAACAAAATGGGTGTCTGCAGTGCCAAAGCTCCCTAACAATGTTCGAAATTATTGACATACCACCACAATAGTGATAGGCACGAACGTCATGATAGAGCCACGCAAAAGGTCAAGAAGATTATGGATGGAATCATAGACTGAGTCTTTCTATTTGTATTCTTACAAGCATTGTTTTTAGTAATACTACGGACTATACTTTCTCTGTCCCTTAGAACTTGACCAACTTTGAACGTCACATGAGATAAGAAAGTAAAGACTTTGAGGTTGAGGTCCACGCAGAGGAGAGAGAAATAATATAAATCACAAATTAGTTGCTTTAAAGAGAAAGTGGCAATGTTTATGAGACACCCAAATAAAGAAATTGACAAAATTTTACTGGAACATATGGAGTATTACTTTTTTCTTTTATTAATATTTGTTTTAGTAACTTACTAATCAGCCTTTAGTTTTTATGATTCCTATTACTATTTTACACTCTTGTAACAGTTACACAAGGACCTTAGTATTATTCATAAACTAGTTTTTGTAACAGTTAATTACTTTTACGCACCAATTAATTCCAAAGTAAACATGAATCCGAAATCATCTCTTTCATTCGTTTTGCACTAGATGCAAACCATGCTCTTAACAAATTGAATGCCTAACCTTATTGCTTAGGGTTTAAGTTAGAAACTGGAAAGACACACTCAGGTGCTTATGTGTTGTTGGCCAGCTTTTTTAAATCTAAAAGGATTTGAAAATGGAAATTCACAACACAAGGGCAGAGAGACTCCACATTTGCACCAATGAAAATGAAAAAGAGAAATTACCTTACACCCAAGATAATTCACCAAGCTATAATCGGCCCAAGGATTCTCAAAGAGACCCATTATAAACTTCACTCTAAGAATTCTCGCAACCGCATCATCAATTCGGCTCATTGGCACAAAGTTATTCTTCACCAGAGAAGTAAGTCCATCAATGAATTCTGTATAGTTGTTTGGAACCATAACCTGCAACATTTGCCAAAAAAAATTAAGAAACCACATGGTTAGTAACCTAGTTCCATTTGGTGGCTGTTAAAATGACAAGAATATCTGAATCAACTAAATTGGTTGAACTAAGAAGAGTTTGGTGATCTGTTTAGCTTAAATAATTCCAGTCATTTCAGCCCATTCAAGCTCACAACCGAACGGGCACTTAGTGTTCTTGGGTTGATATGGATGAATCTGCTACATTTCTAACAGGAAAAACATTTAAGAATTGCTTTGTGCAGCCCTTTTTTTGTTTGTAGCATTCATATCAGCCAAATAACTGCAATTAGATAAAAACTACTTATTGTGTTTAGAACCGGGGCTTAACTTTAAAGATTATGCATTACTAACAAAGCTTTAAAAACTCATTACTCTTTTCACTAATAAGATGGCGGGTTTGAGTTTCTGACTAACCATATCAATTCCAGCATTGACAGAGTGGAGAATGGAGTATGTATAGTTCTCATGCCTGATAGGAGTAATCACATCGATAGCATTATAGTCTGAGATAACAAATCCCTGAAAATGTAAAACACACATTTTTATCACTACTTGAAAATGAACATATGGCACGTTTACAAATTCAACAAAAGTCGGGGTTTACTCTGAAACGTAGTGTTCCCTTGAGATACCCAGTGATTAAATCTCGGTTAGCATGCATCTTCACGCCATTCCAGCTTGAATAGGACACCATGACAGTGGACACACCCTTGATGATCGAATTGTAATAGGCTCCCATATGTATACTAAGGAGGCCATGCCTGCTTATCACTGTGTTGTTCTCATCAATGCCCTTCACAGTGCCACCATCACCTACATAATGCTTGGCACAAGCTGCAACTTTTTCTCTGTAGAAATCAAATGAAGGTCAAATCAAAACATTTCCTTATATTGCAGGATGTATGAAGTTAGAACTTGCACTTTTATATTCTAATGATATGGAATGAATTAATTAATACATGTCTTCAAAATGGCTCATCAGCGTAAGTATTAATTGAATTTATGATTCATTAACATCTACCCACAAGATAGTACCTTATTGGAGCAAACTATTCTTAAATTTTGTGTGCATGTTTTTAAACTTTCCTTAATCAAACTGTGAAAGCAGCTTAAAACCTTATACATGATACTAATCATGGTGTTTTTACTCTTTCCATAAAACAAAGTTGAGAAAGAAATGGAGTTAAGACCTTGGCTAATAGACTCAACGAGAAGTAATGACTTCACGTGCTCAACTTACTTTCCACCAACGTATGGGACTCCGAGAGAATTAGGAGGTGCTTCCCCTTGTAGTCCAGAGATTATCTCAGTCATAGCCCGGACTACCTCCGGATCCTCACTGTAACTCTCGTAGCACCTACCCCATCTTGGATCTCTACATACCTAGCCACGTCATTACCATCCAATGATTTACTATTTAGAGTATAACTTCCCACAAAGATTTCTTTGAAAATGTTTAGGTTGAACGAACTTATTTACCGCAATGCATGGTGCAAACGCATATTGAATCCCAGTGGCCCTTACTTCAAGAGCAGTTGCAGCTCCTATCTTCTTGACCAGTTGAGGATCCCTACACATTCAACATTCAGTGCAAACATAATTTAAAACTTAACAAGAATCAATACATTAATTAAGAGGTATAACGCTTAATTGGGGACAAATTATGGTTAACAAAAGAGTTCTTAAGAGGTGAAAATCATACAATACATATTAAGATATCTCCCCATACATATTAAGAAAATATAGATTGTGGGATATGTAAATATGTTAGGTCATCCCACACTGCCTAGAATACAAAGATACAAAATCATATACTAGTATATAAGGTTCTAGATGATAATAAAATCTTAATGTAGTATTAGATACAAGTAAGTTCAATTGTGCAATCGATAGATATATACAAGTTGACATCAACTTGCCTAGTAGCTCCAAGACCAATGTTATGAGGGAAAATGGTAGCATTGTAGACATTGTTTTGACCGTGAATTGCATCAATTCCATAGATCATAGGAATCCCGAGCCGGGTCGACATAGACCCCTTCTGGAAATCATTCACCATGTCCACCCAAGCCTGTGCAGGCGCCTCATTCCTTGGTACACTCCCACCTCCACTCAACAGACTACCTGCACTATAATCATATCTGGTTATCGGATCTAATACAAAAATAAAATATTCTTTATTCACTATTTTCTACAGAAAAAACAAAAACCCCTCACCTATATAGTATCTCTTCATGACTTCATAAGAAGCGACTTGTCTTTCAATCTGAACCATTTGGCCAATTTTTTCCTCCAAAGTCATCCTCTTCATCAGGTCCTTGATTCGCAAGCCCAGTGGCTTGCTAGGATTTTTGTAAAGCATATCATCTGCATGGGCTATCACCACCCAGGAGCACACCAAAACCATCCCAATCAAGAACCTCATCTTTTCCTTCACTTTTTCCTCTTCAATCAATATGTAGTTCCTTCATGAGTAGAACACAAATTTATTCTAAGAAGAAATGACTCATTGACATTGCTTAAGAGCTACCTTTGAAAGTAGAAGCACATTGGAAAAATCAAGATTTTAATGAATGCATAAATTTAGATTTACATAAATTCAGATCAGTTGAATATCTTAGAAACAACATATAAAATGTGGGAGTTTAGGAGAAGTATAAATTAACTAGTTTGGAACAAACCAACAAATAAAAGAATAAATGCCCAAGCAATGTAAAAACACCAAATATATAAACGTGTATTAAGTATAAATAAAAAGATAAATATTAACGAAACTTATAGCAAATCCTCCAATTTATAGAGTAGCCTCAGTCCTCAGGGAAGACACTGCATCACTGTTTGAAGACAGCTCTGCATCACTGTTTCTTACTTCCAAAAATGTTTTGCACAGTCTGCTTTTCTTGGTCAACATGGTTTGATTTTAATTACTTATTTAGGATATTAAATTATTAATTGTTTATTATTCCTCAAACCCATTGGCCTTTTGTCAACTTTTCTTTTTTGTTTGTGCCAAAAACTTTGTTAATTTCCCTTTAAGTAAATAATTTGTAGTTCGACCTTTCTCTCCTCTGCCCAACTCTCAACCTCACAATTAGGGGTGGGCACGGTCCGGGTCGATCCGGGTAATTGATAATTTTTTTAGAATTGCCAGTTCCATTGAACGGGTAGGTTTGGTCCGGGTACATCACGTCTCAATTCTTACAAACATAGCGCTACACTAACAAAATGTCTAGTAGATAATAAAATTTACAAACTAATTAAGTATCAATGTCACCATAACATAGTAAAAATTCAAAATAAAAATATAAAACAAAGTTTTGAATTAGTTAAAAAAATATCTAACAACAAATGTATACAGTAAATAGCACACAATTACACAAATTAAATAATACTTCGTACCAAACTTTGAAATGTAAAAAATAAGACATCATCATTCATTAAAAAAAGATAGCACCACAAAATTATAAGAAATTAGACTAGTCATTATACATATATGTTTAAGAAAACAATTTAAAACTTAATAAATCTCAAAATGTAAGTAATATTAAGATATTTAAATTATTATGTCATACTTTATTGAACAAGAGACTTTGTTTTAAAAAAATTGATACATTTAGAATAAAGAGTTGAGCACATTAATTTAGAAGTTTATATGGATTTAGAAACTCTTTTCAATAAATCATGAATATAATTTTTTTTTAGTGTTGTTAGTATATTATATCACATATAATAGACTTTAAAAAAATTAAAACGGGTCAGTCCAGACTCTGGGTAGCGGTTTGTTCAAGTTCTAATACATGTACGGTTCCTAAATTTTTCAAGACCCGACCGTAATCTGCTCCATATCCGTATTACCCAGCCAGATCCACGGTTCCTAGATCCACGGTTCCTGTACCTGTTTGTCCGCCCCTACTCACAATTATCACTTTTGTTATTTCACATATAATACAAACTTGACAATGTCCAATGGGATGGAGGGAATATATTGGGGTTATTACCCTAAATAAGACTAAAATGTTGCTTAAATTCCAAAATAGGAGTAGATATATTTTTATTCCCTAGGATTTTTATTCCATATTTTCCCTTCCAAGTATAAATAATTGCCCCTAATTCCCTTGCAAAAGCGACGGGATCAGTAGGGTGGCGGCGGGAAGTCTAGCAGTGGAGGTGGCGGCGGAGTTCCAACAGCTGTCTGCGGCGGCAATCCAAACCTGTAGCGGCGAAAGCCGGATCTTCAACGCCGGCGGCGGCCAGATCTGCAACAAGGACGGCTAGATCTGCGGCGGCAGTAGGGTTTGCCAAGCTTTTATGTAGGTCTAACTACAAATAATAAATTTTATGTAGGGAATTTTTACCCCTATTTTGACAATTAAGGATTTATTGTACTCCGTCAGCTTTATAAAATTTTCAATATTATTTATGAATATGTAAATGAAATCGATTAACTGTCTTAATGATTTAATTTTATAATTAGTTGACTTTAATGAGCGTATATTGCAAATCAATTTGGGAGGTAGTAACTGATGTCATAACCATCCACGGTCCACCCACCCAAATGCTACACTTTAATGTGGAAAGCTGGAAGCAACAATCAATTTAGTGAAAAATAAAATTATACAACTTGGACCGTGTGGTTGGGAATCTAGTTGCAAAAAGCTTATCCATTCTGCTAAATACAAGATTGAGATGGAACTTTCCTTTTAACTTTTTATGCTACAACCCCAAAATAAAACTTTCTCCGGATTTCCCAAACCTTAAAATTTCATACACTTTAATGTAAAGTATGTTCCATCGAAATACGAAAAACATGGGTAAACTGGGCAATGCAAAACGCCATCTTAAGTGTTAACAAACATTACGTGGTTCGATAGTATAACTGTGACACTTCAAAAAAGCAGAGTGTGACAGGGTCAAAACACATCACACCCTAGAGTTTTAGAGAGATCCAATAGAGCTTCCCAAATGGAAACTTGCTCAACCAAGGCGTGAAGTGAAATTACATTAAAAAGAAATGCATACCAGCAAGGAAAAAAACTTGGAGCAAGTCTAGAGTAGCTCCAGTTTTCTGATTCGTCCGAGGAAGTACAAAGACTATGAGCAGCTTAAAACTGGTGGCGAAGCTTTCGAATAGCAGACTTTTTTAGTGCTTAGAGAGAGTAGAGAAGATGGGCAATTGGGCATACGTGGTGTAAGCAGGGTCAAATGCGGAGTAAATAAAAGGGTCAAACACGATTTTATGCCGGTGCATGTTTACTATTGAATAATTACGATTTTATGCCGGTGCATGTCTTTCAAAACCTTGTCAAAATTTGAGAGGCACCATAAATAATAATAAAAAAATACGGAATATATGAGAATGAAGTTTATGTCGAAGAAAGAAAAATAATAGAAATCACAAATTCATTAATTAAAAATGAAAGTCACTATATTTTAGGAACAATAAAAAATTAAAAGATGACAGAATTATACGAGACGGGGTAGTATTTTCTATTCCGGCCTATTGTATACTACGGAGTAGGTGTTAATTAATTTAGTTAATTGTCCTTAGTACTTTTGCATTGCCAAACAGTAGTCTATTGGTGGTGTCGCATAGGCGACGGCCAGGGGCGGCAAAGTTCCTGCGTAGAGGTGTTTTTGTCCGGACATTTTTTTCATATCTTTGTTCGGACATTAAAAAAGTCAACGCTTATTTTTGAAATCCTAACATGTTTTTTTAGGGTAAAGTCTTAACATGTTTTAGAGCCAGTTTGATAACAGTAAAATTAGCTGATTCTACTGAAATTTATGAAGTTCTAGTTGAAGAGTCTGTATTGGCTGATTTTGCTGATTTATGATAAAATTATGTTTAGGCTAAAATACATTTTTAGTCCCTGCAAATATGACACACTTTGTTTTAGGTCCCTGCAAAATAATTTTTTTGTTTTTCATCCCTGTAATATGCACCATTTTAGTTTTAGTCCTTCTAAAATTTCAAAACCACTCTACTCAGGAAAAAAATTATTTCCGGTTGCATAGATTTACTAGAAATATTTAAATTTGTCCTTTTTTTATGTTAATATGAGAGTAAAATTAATTTAAAACTAAGGATTCACGTTTTAAAAATATATATCAAAAGCCTTCAAAAAAATAAAATCAAATATTTTTTTAATAACATGACAAATTATTAGAGGAAATGTATTAGTCAGGGTTATTTTGAAGTCAATCAAAGGTTGTTATCATCAGTGATGGACTAAAACGAAAACTAGCATAAATTGCAGAGACGAAAAACAAAAAATTAATTTTGCAGGGATATAAAACAAAATGTACTATATTTGTAGGGACTAAAAACATATATAAATCTTATATTTAAAATATTTGTTATTAATGAATAAAATAAAAGTTATATGAAAAAATAGCTAAAATGATTCTCTACAGTTACTTCAGCCAATACCGCCAGAAAAGTAACTTCAATCTTATTTTTTTTGCTTATTACACAATTGAGCGAGTGAAATCAAAAGTTACGTGTTTGATGAAAAACTGGTTGATAAGCATGATAAGTCGAAAAAATGGATCACCAAACCGGCTCTGAATCTTGAGGGAATAATCCCAAAAAATAAAATGTTAGTACCGAGTACAAAATTTAAAGTATACTGATATATACTCCGTAGAAAATAATTAAACTTGTTTTCTGCACTTTCTAAAGTAAGGAAAGCAAAGTTGAAAAATGTCACATATGAATATGTTTGCTTCTTTGGACTTGATCGAACTTAGAAAAAGGATCAACTAACGAACAATAAGTCGAAATCCATGGTAATTATGAGAAATCCATGTAGTTAAAATTAAAGGCTAAAATACATTTTTAGTCCCTGCAAATATGACACACTTTATTTTAGGTCCCTGCAAAATATTTTTTTTTTTTGTTTTTTATCCTTGTAATATGCACTATTTTGGTTTTGGTCCTAAAATTTCAAAACCACTCTACTTGGGAAAAAAAATATTTCCGGTTACATAGATTTACTAGAAATATTTAAATTTGCCCTTTTATAATTTTTTTGATGCTAAATATGACAGTAAAAATAATTTAAAACTAAGTATTTACATTTTAAAAATATATATCAAAATCCTTCAAAAAAATGAAATAAAGTATTTTTTTAATAAAATGACAAATAATTAGAGGAAATGTATTAGTCAGGGTTATTTTGAAGTCAAACAAAGGTTGTTATCATCAGTAATGGACTAAAACGAAAACTAGCATAAACTGCAGGGACGAAAGACAAAAAAATAATTTTACAGGGAAGTAAAACAAAATGTACTATATTTGTAGAGACTAAAAATATATTTAAACCAAAATTAAATGCAAAGTTTGAATAACTTCAAGAAAAAATGCAGAGTACGAATGAATCCAAAGATGATGAGTATGTGCTGTGCGACAGGAGCTGGAGTTTTCTGTGTGGTGTTTTTCTATGCTGCCTGCCTGCCTTGAAGCTCCAAAAATAAGCTGGTTTTATTTTTTTTATTTTATTTTTCAGACCTGGCCCCTTAATTAAATCCAATGTCCTCCTTTTGATTTCTAAGTCCGGACATGAATTTGGTCCCCTGGTTAGGACTTAGACTAACCACGACCTTTTCCGTCAATTCCATTATCAATATATTCACTCAACAAAGTTCTTTTTAATTGCAATCTTATTTTTATTATTATAGATAATGTTTTTGCCGAATTCTTTTTTATGAATAATTATGATTTAAAAAGACAAACACTTCGATGTAAAAATAAATAAATTTGGAGTTTAAAAAACTTATTCTTATTTCTGATCTATTTTTCAAAAATAAATAACTGAAAGATGTTAAAAAAATCAAACCATTATATCTTAATTTTAATATTTTGATTTGCCTAATAACAAATTTGGATCTAAAAATCTTCCGTAGTTGAAATTTCATATTTTTTTCAACTTTATATATGTTATACTGGTGTCAAATGAAAGATAATGAAAAGTTATAAATTTTGATATATTTTGTATAAAAAATTAGACTAAAAAATGTTGTAATAGATTTAAGAAATTTGGGAATTTTCTTTTTCTGGGACCGGTTGTCATTCTCTTCATCGTTTCATCCTCCAGCGTTTCTGCCCAAAGAATTTCCTCTCTCCGGAAGTGAATAAGAGGTGCAGCTACCTGCCTACCTATTCCATCCCAGGGGTGCCATGAAGCCATTATAAGAATCTTGTGCACATTATTTTCTTTGGGCTGCAACAATCATTGAGGTGAATATTTCAAATAAGGGGTTTTCACCCCTTGGGTGGCGAACCGCCTTAGGAGGTGATTCAATCCTTAAATCTAGGGGTGGACAAAGTGGTTCGGTTTAACCGAATCGAGCCATACCAAACAAAATTAAACCGAACGAAATCGTACCATATGTAAGTTGGTTTGAGTTTGCTAGTAATTTTTCCAAGCCGTATTAAATGGAACGGAACCGAAATTGAGAAAACCGAATAAAGCCGAATCGAACTAAATGAATTCAATAAAACATTCATATATTACACCTTTCATCCCTATATGAAGGGGCTTGTTGAATGGCACACAATTTAAGAGTAAAACACTATTCACCCTTTCATTGCCCATATTGCTCATGTTCAATCTTTTAAAAAAGTGGGGTTGTGCTCTTTTAATTCCCCTTCCACCAGCCCCAAAAGGAGGAATATTATTTCCTTTCATGTGTGCAATCTCATCATTAAATTCAAAACCCCCCCAAAAACCAACATTATAAAGGCAACAAGCCAGGCAAGTACTCAAAAATTACAACAATGTTACAAGCCAAAATGGCAGAAAGTTCAGAGTTACAATTTGCTACTCGATCAAAGTACAAGAAGTTGTCTAATGAATATAGAAGAACTATACAAGCTCTTCTTAATCAAAGTGATATGCAAGATGACAGAAAGATTGGCTATGATAGATTGACAAAAATAGCCAACCAATTTGGGGTCTCTCAGAAGGCCATATAAAAAATATGGCATCTCCGCATGGAAAACAAGCATATGGACTTCCCCTGAACCTAGATCTCAGGATGCAGGGAAAAGTCGTTACGAAAGCCTAGTCATTGACCTATCAAAAATGATGGATATTCGTCTAAGCCACATAATGAATTTTAGGTCATTTTCTGCTTAAGGACATCCAATCGTGTATGCACAAACTCAAACAAAAAGGTCGTGTCAGTTCAAAAGTAACACATCAGCTATCAAGCCTCATCTCACAGACTTGAATAAAACACAGAGGTTGAAATAGATCATTTCTAACATTGAAGAGGACACAGTAACAAATGCACCACAAAATAAAGGCATGTTTAACTTGGTACATGTGGATAAAAAATGGTTTTACATGACAGAGGCATTACATAGGTATTACCTCCATCCGGGTGAGGTTGAGCCTCATAGGACATGTATGTCAGTCTAAAAGATTCATCACTAAAGTGATGTTTCTGACTTTCTGTGTGCAGTTGCCAAACCAATTATACATGCAAATGGTGATTTCATTTTTACGGGAAAAATGGAATATTCCCATCCAGTACAATGGAATCAGCAAAGAGAAAACATAAAAACATAGAAGCTGGCACACTTGACGAGAAAGCTATTGTTTCAGTCACAAAGGATGTTTACAAGGAATGTCTCCTCAATTTTGTATTGCCTACTATCAAAGCTAAGTGACCTACAAGTGTGAGCAAGCATATATACATACAACATGACGATGTGAGACCCCACATTAGTTCAAATGACATTGACTTCATCAAAGAAGCCACTTTAGATGGATTTAACATTTGAATTAATCTGCCAACCTCCTAATAGCCCTAATCTAAATGTGTTGGATCTAGGGTTTTTTAGAGCTACTCAGTCACTGCAACATACCACACCTAGGAATTCAATTCATGATCTCCGACTAGGGGTGGATTAATTTAAACTCAGTTCAATCCTATTGCATTAAATCATGTTTGGTTGACTCTACAGTTGTGTATGAATGAAATTATGAAAGTGAGGGGAGGCAATAACTGCAAGGTGCCACATGCAGGAAAAGTGCACGTGAAGGTCAAGGTTACCTAGCAATCTCTTTCAATGAGGACTCAAGTATATTGTTGGAATACTTAGAGATGTTTGGTCCATTTAAAAATGGGTACATAACACAAGGGTGAAAGTGTTTTTGGGTTGTAAACGTGAAAAGTATTCACATTTTTTACTTTTTGGAATACTTGAAATGCTGAGGC